GAGAGGAAGACGAGGTAATCTATTTCCATAAAGATTTATAGCCTTAGAAACCCAACTGGGGTTGCCATGAGTCATAATTGACTTGATGGCAGTAGGTTTGGTATCAGGAAAATGGAGATAAACAGTACCAACATTGTAAGATACTTTTGAGAACTAAATGAAAGAATACATAAAAAGTGTCTAGCACAGTACCTGGGCTGCTGAGAACACAAGGGTTCAGTGACTATTGTTTAGACTAGGGGTAGTCTATTGTTTTCTTCTTATTATTCTCTTATTACCATATCTCTGTGAGTGCATACATGTGTATGTACCCACTTCGCAGGGAGAGGCAGGAAAGGTGCCGATCAGACCGAGAACCCGGCTTCTTCTCCAGAAACAGCACGTGGTGCAAACGGGAGAGGGTGCCTAGAGGCATCGCTTCACCTTTAAAAAATTGTTCTTATAATTTAGGAGAACTGCAAACATAGAATGTAATACAGCAGTCTCAAGGGGAACCTTTGGTCTGAACTTCCTTGTTTAAGTGAAAATATCTACAGCTATAAATTATGCTAAAAAAGAAAAAAAAATTTTAAAAAGATGATTATTTTAAAAGATCTTTCTCACCCTGGGAGCTCTGGTAGCATAGTACCTAAGGCATTTGACTGCTAACCAGAAGGCTGGCAGTTCAAACCCAGCAGACACTCCTCAGATGGAAGGTTGGGCAATCTACTTCTGTAGAGATACCGCCTGGGAAACCTAAGGAGGGGTCGCTATGAGTTGAACAGACTTGATGGCAGTGAGTTTTTTTCTCACCCTGCTCACTTAGGAGGAAAGATCCCTTCTTTCCCCTGGGTTCCCTCAACACTTGCCCCTCATCCCAACCTTGTTCTTCGTCTCCTCACCAGCCTAGCGCAGCTGGAGGGCACGAATTTTCCTTCCTCCTCGTGTTCTCTCCAGAGCTGGCACAGTACCCCAGCAGGAGGAATGAATGACCGCAGTGAACACCACATGCCCAGCCCACAGCCTTCTGGGTGTGCGCACTATCCCGTTCCCTCCCAGGCTCCCTCAGCCCAGCTTCCTGCCTTAGCCCGCCCCGCTTCACCCCTTGCTTTTCCTTTAGCCCCATCCCTCTACCCTGCAATAGAGCACAGGTTCTAAGGATTCAAATCCTAGCTCTGCCATTTACTAACGGATGGACTGAAATTCAGTGACACCTGGACAGCACTTCACGCTGGGGCAAAGTTCAATGTCCGCGCCCAGGAGTGAAGGTGGCGTCATTGT